AAAAACAAAAATGGAAAAAGAGAGAAAAGAAAGCAAACAAAAAAAGAAAAAGGAAATGCCCCCAGGGGTATCACTGTGCAGCTGCACGGACTGAGGAAGTAGATCCCAAGCCACGCATTACAGCCCGGCTAGAAGGGGCTCCCAAGCCAAGTAAAGAAAAAGAAAACAAATAAATCAAAACAGAATGAATCAAATCAAACAAACAAAAACAAGCACGGGGGATCCCACCAGCATGGCCTTGTAGGCTGGACAGCAGTTAACACAGTTAACCGGCGTTTCACAGCCTTTCAGGAAGAAGTAAAGATGACACATGTAGCCAGGTACTTGAAAAGAAAGGACGGGGAGGTGGTTAGAGGTATGGAAGAAACGAAAAGCAGCAGAAACAACATCAGCAACAAATGACACCCCGGGAGCAAGCCAGTGTGGGCAGGTGGAATCCAAGCCAGACAGGGCTGAAGATGGTGCCTCCTGGCCAAGAGACTGTGGCCACAGAAAGCAGAGGAGGCTGACTGGGGGTGAAGAAGGTATGATGTGTTTTCATTCTAGGAATTTTTTGATTCCATCTCTGATTTCTTCTATTACCCAGTGATGCGTAAGCAGGGTATTATTCAGTTTCCATGTAATTTATCTTTTTTCCTTTCTCTTTCTGTTGTTAATTTCTACCTTGATGACACTGTGGTCAGAGAAGATACTTTGAATTATCTCAACGTTTTGGATCTTGTTGAGGATTGCTCTGTGGCCTAAGATATGGTCTATTCTGGAGAACGCTCCATGTGCATTGGAAAAGAATGCGTACTTTGTAGTGGTTGGATGAAGTGTTCTATATATGTCTATGAGGTCAAGTTGGCTGACTGCCCTTTAGGTCTTCTGAATCTTTGCTGAGTTTCTTTTTAGTGTTCTGCCCTTTACTGAGAGTGATGTATTGAAGTCTCCTACTATTATTGTGGAACTGTCAATTGCTCTTTTCAGTGTTGTGAGAGTTTATGTATTTTGGAGCCCTGTTATTGGGTGTGTAAATGTTTATTATGGTTATGTTTTCACGATGGATCATCCCCTTAATCATTATATAGTGTCCTTCTTTGTCTTTTATGGT